CATTAATAAGTAGAGGTTATAGAAAACTAAAATCTTGATAGGATGATAAAGTTAGTTATATGTGTAGTACATGTCATAATGAGAACAGTGAGGAGATAATACAAATCCACATAATTATTCTCAACTGACTTTTGATAAAGCGATTCAATGGAGAAAATATCACCTTCTCAACAAATGGTTTCAGTAAGTAACAGCTTTCCAGAAAAATGAAATTGAATGTTCATAGACAAAAAGCAATTGTAATGGTAAAAATAAAACAATGCCATTCCTCAAGGGACAGCAGCAGGCATCGGGCCATGAGGGGCAGTGGGTCCCAGGCAGGGAGCTGCATGGCAGGTGAGAGACCTTGGCAGGTCACCTGGTCCCACGAGGAGCTGGTGAGAGACAGACAGATAGGCACACCATGCTGAGTGAGGCTGGATATTTATTTAGCGGGCTATGGAAGGGAAGGGGAAAGGGGGGGAAGAGAGAGAGAGAGAGAGAGAGAAGGGGGGGTGGGGGAGAGGAGAAGTGAAGCTACCTCTTCAGGAGAGAGATGTAAAAGAAGAAGCTCAGGCTGGAAGCAGAAGGAAGATCCGCTTGCCTTGTCAGATGGGGGAGGGAGTGGGCAGGACTGGTTTCTTAAAGGGACAGGAGAGATCATTACAGTAATGCTCCTGAGATCCCTTAACCCAATGCTAACACCTTATAAAAATGTTACCAAGGCCAAGGCCAGGTGTGGTAGCACACGCCTACAATCCCAGAACTCGGGAGACAGAGGTAGATGGATCTTTGAGATTGAGGCCAGCCTGATTTAGAATGAGTTCCGCAACAGTCAAAGAAAAGCCCTGTGTCCAAAAAAAAAGAAAGAAAAAAAATGTTACCTAAACACAAGTAGGAAACAAATATAAAACTTAAAAATTAAGGAGAAAATTCTTCTGTTTACAGAACTAGGCATAGAAGAGGACCATTTGGTAGGTGGTAGAAATGAGAAAGCTGTACTCTGCAAAAGACCCTGAGAAGAGGATAGAAAGATAAGCTATAGCCTGCAAAATATTGCACCTCACAAAAACAAGGCTGGCTAATAGCTAACAAAAGTTTAAATATCAATGGTGAAAAAATAATCAATTTGAATGTGGGCGGAAGAGAGATGGGTGACAAATAAAACCTGAGATGTTCAGCATGATTAGCCATGAGAGAAAGGCAAATTTAAACCACTTGAGGTTGTTTCTACACAGCAGTCAATCAAGTAATGATATGGAACACAGATACATAAATAAGACAGATGGGTTAGGTCTCCAGCCCTTCATATCATCGCTGGCAAGGCAACAGTGTTGATGTTAAGTAGATTTCTGTCTGTTTAGGGTGTCTGTGTCCTGCCTGACAGTAAATAGAACAAGTGTTAAGAGATTTCCTCACTTATCTTTTAGGAGCACGTCAGTGAACTACGTGATTGTAAGTAGGACGCAGGTGACAACGCCTGTGCAAAACTTGTAAAACGCTTTGTTTCCCCGTCTAAAAGTATTGACATATATTTACACATATCTTGAGATCGCTTGGAATGAATTCTATGCTAATCCCACGGTGTGTTTTCTTTAAGCCAGGGAAGCACATGTAAAAATCGGCAATGGCATACTTCTGAGTGAATGATCCTTTGCAAAATTAATTAGGGTGCTGGCTGTCAGCGATCTGGAGTAGCTCGGGTATAATCTAGGTTTATGAAATTGCACTGTTTCAGAGAGTATGTAAGATGGACGCGGTGCCAGTGTAGCGGTGAAGGACAAACTGAGAACTTGAGCTTCTGAAGAATTTCTGCAAACAGGCTGTAGTAATCATTGCTTACTCAAATGCAATGTAAAATTGCGTTGGTGTGTGTGTGAGAGAGGGGGGAGAGGAAGAGAGAGAGAGAGGACAATATAGTGAACTGGGAGGGGTCAGAGGACAACTCTTTTTTTTTTTTTTTAAATTTATGGTGAGACAAGGTTTGTCTGTGTGCCTTAGGCTGTCTTGGAACTTATTCTGTAGACCAGGCTGACCTTGAACCCAGAGATCCACTTGCCTCTGCCTCCTGAGTGCTGGATCTGCAGCTTGGCCAGAGTATTGTTCTTTTTAAAAATAATACCATGGTGGGATGTCCCGGGCAGCTCGCGGAGTAGCTGCTAGTGGCAGTGCCATGCGGTGGGGGGAGTCAGGGTCCCCGAGCGAACGGCAGAGTCAGGCGGCTGGATGTGGTGGACGGCAGAGTAAATGGACATAAGGCTATACATAAAGCTAGACATTTATTACTTAAAGAGAGAAAAACATAGACAAACAGAGAGAGAGAACAAAGACACGCACGCACTCACGCATACACACACACACACCAGAGAGAAGACGGCAGCGGGGGAAGTCCAAAGTGACTGGGGTGGGCGTGGTTAGTTCTTAAAGTGTCCCAAAGTAATAACACAGAGGACAACTCTTGGGAGTTGTTTTCTCCTTCTACCACGTGGGTCAGAAGGAATGAACTCAAGTCTTCCCGGCTTAGCAGCAAGCATTGTGCCAGCCCTCCTCTTTTTATACAATAATGGTTCAAGCTAATTTTGTGTTGTTGGGGCAAAATGGAGGGTGTGAAATATTAAAGTACATGTATTTGATGGATAATACATAATTTTATTTAATTTGTTTTTATATTTACATATTCTTTTTCTTTTTCCTTCTGTGACAGGGTTTCTCTGAAGCTTTAGAGCGTTGAGGCGCTGTGGAGGTCCAAAAATTGAGTGTGTTTCTACCTTGTTTGAAGGTCAGAGAGTTCCAGCTGGCTCAAAGTTGACTGGAGAGGCTACACACCTTGCCCTCGGGGTTGCTTTGTGTTTTTTGACATTAAGATAGCCCACACAGGGACTGGAGAGATGGCTCAGAGGTTAAGAGCACTGACTGGTCTTCCAGAGGTCCTGAGTTCAATTCCCAGCAACCACATGGTGGCTCATAACCATCTGTAGTGAGATCTAGTGCCCTCTCCATGTCCAGCAAGCATACAGACAGACAGAACATTGTATACATAATAAATAATAAATCTTTAAAAAAAAGAAGATGGCCCACACAGGTAAGTCCACTCCACACTGACCAAAGGTCAGGAAATTCTGTCATACTTCTCCTTCTTTTGAAATAGGCAGTTTGACCTAGGGAATGGCTGCCTTTAAGATACTTGGTCTAGGATGGGTTCCCCACTTAAACAACAGAATGCTTTTCTCACGATTTAGTGACTTGATGTCTTAAGTATTGAAGCAAGTAACTGTTGTAGTTGCCCTTTGTATCAAGTTAAGGCTGTCTTTTGTCTTCTTCCCTTTTTTGTATTGGGGTATAAAAGTGTATGGAAAATTAAACACGACAGACTTCAGTATTCTGTTTTATTATTTCCACTTACATCTTCTTATTCTTTACTAACTTTTCCAATCCTCATGTCCCTACCCTGGTAAGTGGTATTTTTGTTGAAGTTGGTCTCTGACAAGGCATTTTATTTATATGTATATTTTATCTCCCCAGGAAAAGAAGTCCAGCATTTTCCCTCCTCTGTGTTTTTATTTTGCTTCTGCATGGTCCATGATGCCCTTGAGGTCGTGAGTATGAAGAAACCAGACAGACGAGGCAGAAACAGACCATGTTGCTAGTTATCTAGGTCTTTTGACTACACCCCAAACCTGGGGCTGATCATTCTACACCTGTTCAACCTGCCTGTGAGGTTCCCACTGATTTTCCCACCTCTGCTCATCAGTGATTTCAGTACATCGGCATCACAGAGGTTCAGCATCATAGTGAGAACCTGGCCAGTGACTTGGGGACACAGGCAGGTGGGTGCCCCGCACTTGCTTGTCTTCAGCACTGAGTGGCCATGTGTGCTGTGGTTAGCGTGGCACAGAAGGAGGACACAGAGAAGAGTGTTAGCTCTGGTAAGCAGTTTGCCCCTCCTTCTGGAATACTCTATAATCAACACAAATGAATCACATGAGAGACATAGAAGGCTTTTGTGACAACCCCTTCCCCCAACAAAGTAATGCCCTAGATAGGAAGACATCAAAGAGAACTCTTAAAACTTGTGATAAGGGTGCTGAAGTGTGGTTCTCCACAATAGATGGCTACTGGTGGGGATGGGGATGTGGGGGGTGGGATGGGTGGGGGGCAGAAAAAGCTTGTTTCCTTTAAGGGGCCTGGCCACCAGGAGTCTGACCGAGCTTCAGCGACTCTATGGATAACACAAATTGAACTTTTAAAAATCTTTTGGTTTTTTGGGGGGAGGGACTGGGGAGTAAGGGTGATGGGATGCATTATGTAAAATTCCCAAATAATCACCAAAAATATTTTTTTTAAAAAAGAAGTGGGCACAGCAGGGAATGGTGTTGATTGCTGGTAATTCCAGAATGTGGGAGATGGAGACAGGAGGATCAGAGGTTCAAGGTCATCCTCAGTTATGTTGCAAGTTCGGGGCCAGCCTGGGCTGTCCGAGACTCTGTTCCAACGTACAACAAAACTAAGACAAAAGCAGCACAATTTAATGTGCGCGGACCATGGGGGCTCATCATGAAGTCTCCCTTGTGGAAACAGGAACTAGAAGAACTCAGGGTGTGTGTGTGTGTGTGTGTGTCTTTGTGTGGTAACAGTCAGAAACTGGACTAAGAATGAAGCAGGGAGGCAGATACAGCAGGTAAGTCGTGAGGTCAGAGGACACGTGACCAACAAATCAGAGGTTAACAGTGGAGCTGCATTTAACCTCGCCTCCTTAAGAATGCCTTGAGGGATGAGCTCATGAGCCTAGTGTCCAACACACTTTGTTTATGTAAGTGACATCTTACAAAACGATAGTGAAGTTTTTTACATATCTTGCTTGGATTTTTTGTGGAATCTCATCCCTCTGTTACTAATTAGCTATGAGAACCTAAGCGAGCTCTGTTCTCTATCTTTATTAAACTTTTTCGAATGGAAGAGAAGAGAGGCACAGCAGATAATACTTACATTGAACATTGCACTGGTGTATAAATCATTATTCATACTTTTAATTGGTTTAGCAACTTCTTCTATGGGGAGAAGACACAAGACAAGAATGATGGACTATCCCAGCACCTGTGTTAATGGATTTTCAATCAATGTGGACCCCACCTCTTCCTGCACCCCACCCCATTTCTGCAGACATTCCTTGGTTTGTAAAGACCCCGTGCTTTATACCTGAAGTGGAAGAATATCAAATTCGACCAAGAAAACAAAGCATTTCTTAAGTAAACAGTAAGGAGCTCCGAAGAGTGGGACCTGCAGGTCTCAAAGGCCTTGGTCCCTGATGGTCCAGTTATATTTTGATTTATGTCGGCCTGTGATTGCCCCTGTTTTGACCCAAGAGAGGATTGTGTGGGAAGTTTGTCTGTGAGATAGAGCTGCGGCGTTGCTCTGCAGAGTGTCTGGAGCCTAAGTGGATGCAGTGTCCCCGTCCAGCCTCTGATAAGTAGGGAAAGTGCCCACTCTGCTCAGCTGGGAGGCCAGCGCGGTCGTTAAGCCTGTGCACTCATTCTGTGAGGAAGAGGACAGCCGTAGTAACATCAGCGAATTGTGAGTATATTTTTTTCTCTAAAATAAGACGTTTTTTAAAAAAATCTTCTGCTGTCTGAATTAAATAGAAATGCCAATTTTGTTGTCAGTTTATCTGTTTACCAAACTGTATAATATTAACAGAAAGGCCGTTTTTGAGATCTTTAGCCTCTACCATCACAAGTTCTTTTTGGCAAAATTGAATAATATGACTGCTACCGTAAGGGTTAAGCCCTAAAAGTCATTTTCCTTAAAAAGAGAATGTTTTGGGGGAGTGCAGTGGATAACGCAGTAATTTCCTTCTTGCCTAGAGAAGCTCAAATCAATTCTGGGCTGTGGCTGGACTTAGTTGACAGCTGATCTAAGAATGCGAGTTGTTCAGGGCTGATGCTCCCTGTTCCATTTGCTAAGTGAAACCTGTTTTTAAATGATGAACTCACTGATAGTGTTTACAGTCTTGAAAGGCTCGACCATAAGTAGGTTCAGAACAACATGAAGTATACTCTGTTTAAGACATCTCTGTTGAAACTGTTACAATGATATAAATACAAAGACTAGACTAGGGGCATAGGTGCAAATTATGCTTCTTTATTTCTGAAATATAGAATGTATAAATTTCATAATTTCACTGATTTTTAAAATATTAGCATGTTTTCTTTTCTGCTATCATTATTAATCTATTAAATAGTTGAGATAATATGAATAAAATAGCTTTTTAAAAAACTATTTGCACAATTGTGTGGCTCTTTTTGCATGAACTATTCAGACTAGATGAATCTGTTGTGAAGGGAAGGAGACAGGTGATGGCAGGTGTTCGGGGAAGAGGATGAGAAGTGACATCTCATGGATTTGGGGTCTGGGAAGGCATTAAGGTGCTCTGGAGTTACATGGTGATGGCAGCTGCATCAAATATAAATATTCTGAATTCTATAGTTATGGCTGAATTTTATGAGCTAACTATATATCAATAAATAACTACAGGTTAACACACACACGGAAAGTGCCTTCTGTATTCCAAAGTAATTCTCATAAAGGAGTTGACAAACCTTACTGTCTGTTGTCCAGAGACATTCTTCCATTCCTCTCATTTTCTCTGACTAGGGTAAATTCTGACTGGAGAACTTTGGCTCTAAGATGCACCAGCATGCAAAATCGTTTTGCATCAAAGAATAATTGTGCCACGTAGAACATTTTTGCAATGACGCGCTATTCTTTTAGAAGTGCTGTAAAAATGAAAATATTTTTCTTCTAGAGCGATCTACTTCTCAGCTATATTAATTTATGCTGTGTTTTATTTATAATTCGAATGGTACACACTGCAAGAGTAAATCTAAAAATTATGAAATTCCCACTGTGTACATCTAGTTATCAAGAATCAGCGGTTTTTTTACCGGCTAAAACTCTAGATAGATGAAAATTTTTGACACCAAGTTTTGACTGAGGAGGAAATGCAGAAACATTTATAGAAAGAAGGTTCTTTTTTTTTTGGGAAAAATACATTTTTAGTAAGTTATATTTATTAAAGGAATAGCAGATTTTTTTTTATCCATGCCAAGTTGATTATCTTGATAAAAGATCCTCTTCTAGCTAAGCTATTTGTTTTAAATAAATATTTATTATGAAAGATAACAAGATGCGGTCCTTCTAGATCCACAAAGGCCTTTCTCTCTAGTCGGACAGAAACTTTCTCATGCCTTCAGTTTACTATTAATCTACTTGAGTGTTTCAAAAGTTGTATTCTGTTGTATTTATTTACTTGTGTCGTTTGTGAGTATGTGTGCTTGTGCGGATGCACAGACGGTGGAGCGTGCGCAGGGCGGAAGACGACTGTGGGAGCCGGTGCTCTCTTTCCCTCATGGGGTGTCAGTTGTCAGGTTGTCATGCTTGATGGCATGTGCTGTTTCGTAATCCTACTGAATGTTTAAAACTCATTTATCTGTAATTTATTTTTGAAAGTTTTATTTTGCTACATATCTATATACGATACTCCTATTCAATATTTTAAGAACTTTATCGTAAAAACTTGCAAATAAAAACTTTGTAGTGGAATTAAATACTAAAAGCCTGAAATTTTGTGAAAAATTGAAGGTAGAGTTGATGTGAGTATTACTGTGAACACACAACACAGATATGGATTTCATATTTTCAAAGACCTCTCTCTTCAAGAGGGTAATGGATGTTTACCTCTCCCATGCATCCTGGATTACAACTGGTCCAGATCTGATGGTAACAGGTCTGATGTAGCCACTATTTTAAGACTTTTTTTTCTTATCAGAGTAAGAAGAATGTGATTTTAGAATGCTGGTTTTTATAACATGAACCCTGACAGTGGCATTAGGTCCTTTTCAGATTGTCTTTTGTTTAATATGACTTGTCAGGTGAACCATTAACTAGAAAAGTCTTATGCAAGCAATGTGGATTGATTTTTAACTTTCAGACTATTTTAATTATTTAATGCTGTGCTTTATGAGGCTTAGTGATAAACACAATCAATTTTATTTTATTTTTATTTTTAATTTTTTTTTCTCGAGACAGGGTTTCTCTGTAGCTTTGGGGCCTGTCCTGGAAATAGCTCTTGTAGACCAGGTTAGCCTCGAACTCACAGAGATCAACCTATCTTTACCTCCCAAGTGCTGGGATTAAAAGCGTGTGCCACCAACACCCAGTAATACAATCAATTTTAAAGTCAGGTGAATAACAACTTCAATATTCCAATAATTCAATATCTGATTGAGTCTCAAATAGAGAAGCTTAGAAAGAAATAGATGGTGTTGTTGTTTAATAAATAATACTGGCATGTTCCCTGGCAGGCTCGCAGAGCAGCCGCTAGTCCGACAAGGACGGCTGTCGGTCCCTGCAAGGTCCCCAGGGTGGCAGGCTGATCCCACCATAAGGCCGGGAGAGTCAGGCGGGCGGGTGCTGCGGATAAAAGGCTCACAGGACATAGTAAATAGACATAAGGCTACGCATAAGGGTAAACATTTATTACTTAAAGAAGAAGGAGAGGAAAGAAGGCAGAAATAGAAAAGAGGACAGAGAGAGGAAAAACATGTGTGCACACGCCAGGAGAGAGGGAGAGAAGGGGTTAAGATGGCAACCAGGAGGTCAGAAGTCGCTGGGAGTGGGCGTGGCTTGCCCTTAAAGGAATCAGACTCAAAGGAATAACAGATGGTATTGCTAAAATTACTACACAAATTAGACCTGGGCTAGCCTTGAACTCACTATGCCTGGCTTCGAACTCAGTGTGTAGCTGAGCCTGGCTTTGAACTCCTCATCTTCCTTCCTCCACTCTCCAAGGACTGGTATTGCCACCACATTCAACTCACAATTTTTTTGTTTTTGTTTTTTGTTTTTTGTTTTTCTAGACAGGGTTTCTCTGTGTAACAGTACTAGATGTCCTGGCACTAGCTCTTATAGATCAGGCTGGCCTCTAACTCACAGAGATCTGCCTGCCTCTGCACAATTTTTTTCTATGTAAGGGGAGTCTACTGACTTAAAGTAGTGGAAAAGCTTTCACCTACGTTGGTGTTATTACTCCTCAATGGAAGCTTCATATTGCAAGTACACTCACCCAGAGGCATCAGTCCTCCAGACATATCATACATGACTGGCACTGCACTAGCAGAGGGCTGGGGCTCATGTGCCTTTAAAGGAGCCTAGGTCCTTTAGGGGAAACAGAACACAACTTTTAGACGTATTGCTATTGGAATCTTCGTGGAGAGAGAAATCTTATTACAGAGCTCACATGAGACGTATTGCTATTGGAATCTTCGCGGAGAGAGAAATCTTATTACAGAGCTCATATGAGTGACACACCAAAGAAAAGCTAAAAAATAATTTCAGATACTCAGAAGAGTGTCATCTATATTTTTGGCATGAGTGAAAAGTCCCACTTTTGATGGACGCGGTGGTACAGCTATGAGTAGTTCAAGGCCAGCTTGGGCTACGGGAGATTTTATCTCAAAAACAAAACAAAACAAAAAACAAAACCAATAAATAAACCAAAGGAAACCTTCCAAAATCTCTGCAAACATTTTCTCCTTGCTTTTTTTTTTTTTTGGATAGTGTTTTTCCTTTTCTTTGATTCAAGTGTCTCTGTGTACCCCAGGCTAGCCTTGAACTCACCTCCTGCCTCAGCCTCCTGAGGAATGCACCACAGCGCCAGCTCCTTATCTTGTAAGCGGGGGATAAAACTGCAAAACAGGACAGCCTCTAGGGTGACCTTCTCCCCTCTAAATAGCTCCCAGCTGCAAAACTGTGGCTTCCTGTTTAGGGCTATTTAAAGACATCGTTTCCGGACTTTCTTCCCAGGAAATACCAAAAACTAACAAATTGTCCGTAAGGAGTAGTCTTAGATTTTGATCATTTTTTCCCCCGCAATTTTCACTTTTTGTGTCTTCCTATTAAAAGTAAATCTGAAGAGCTGCTGTCGTTATCCAGCAGCGCAGAAACTAAGGCTTTGTCTTTGCCTTATCAGCACGCTGGAGAACGTGGATTTCCAAAGGACTTAGAGGATTAGGACGGGTGTGAAAGCTGCCGGCTCCCACTCTTTAGCTTCCTCGGTGTTCGTGAAGAGGTCTGGCTTGGAATCTTACCTTAATTTAGAATCTGGAGATCTGGAAACCATTAGAATAATTTTTTTTTTTGGTTTTGGTTTTTGAGACAGAGTTTCTCTGTGTAGCCCTGGTTGTCCTTGAACTTGCTCTGTAGACCAGCCTGACCTTGAACTCAGAGAACTACCTGCTTCGGCCTCCCAAGTACTGGGATTACGGGCCTGTGCCACTGCTACCCAACAGAATAATTTTTTTTAAAAAAAGATTTATTTATTTACTTTGAGACAAGGTCTTATTATGTAACCTTGACTGGCCTGTAACTCTTCACTTACAGACTGTGTTGGCTTCAAACCCAGAGAGATCCATCTACCCCCTGACTCCTGAATGTTAGGTTTAAAGACGTGTGCCACTATACCTGCCCAAACCACAACAAAAAATTAGGATGCTCTTTCTTTTCTCCCCTCCTTCCCTGTGTCTGTTTGTCTCTGTCTGTCTGTCTGTCTGTCTGTCTCTCTCTCTCTCTCTCTCTGTGTGTGTGTGTGTGTGTGTGTGTGTGTGTTCCTGTGGAGACCAGGAAAAGATGCTGGACTGTCTGGGGCTGGTGTTGCAGGTAGTTTTGAGACTGAAACCAAACTCTGCTATATGAGGAAGCAGCAAGTGCTCTTAACTGCTTAGTCATCTCTTCAGTCTCCTAGAACAACAGTAGTTTTGGGGGAATGAGTTCATGTTAAGAGCTGTGTTGAGTTTCACATGCACTAATCTGCTCCTTCCAATACCTTTGCTGGAAGAGTGTTGGTACTACAACTGATGAAGTCAAGATTCAGAGAGGTATAATACATGGTCCATAAATCAGTGCTAGAAGGGCTGGAGAGATAGCTCAGAGGTTAAGAGCCTTGCCTGCTCTTCCAAAGGTCCTGAGTTCAATTCCCAGCAACCACATGGTGGCTCATAACCATCTGTAATGGGATCTGGTGCCCTCTTCTGGCCTTTAGGCATACAGACAGAATACTGTATACATAATAAATAAAAAAAAAAGAAGAAGAAAAATAAGCGCTGGAACAGTGTTCGAGCTGTAACTTCAAATTTGGCATGCTTCTAATGATTATTGCCAAATTTATTAAGTCATTTAAAGGCTGAACAACAAGAAATTCGCAAAATTAAATAATTTGGTGTTTGAAAATATGAGAAATTGCTTGATTAAAATGGAAGTATAAGTCTCATGTATAAATTCCTCAAATTTTACTGTTTTTCTTTTCTTTCTTTCTTTTTTTTAATTTTTTTTTGGTTTTTCCAAGAAGGGGTTCTCTGTAGCCTTGGAGCCTGTCCTGGAACTAGTTCTTTTAGACCAGGCTGGTCTCAAACTCACAGAGATCCGCCCGCCTCCCCCCCCCCCCCCAGTGCTGGGATCAAAGGAGTGCGCCACCACCGCCCAGCTGTTTTTCTTTTCTAAAACATTGTTATTGTGTGTGTGAGAGAGCCCCCCACAACATGATTTATGTGGGGAATGCATGTGTCATAGAGTACAGATGGAGGGCTAAAGACAACTTTGTGCAGCTGGTGCCCCTTCCCCACCTTTACATGAGGTCTGGGGATTGAACTCAGGCGGCCACTTCTGTGGCAAGCTTCTCTACCCCTAGAGTAATCTAACCAGTTTAAAATTTTTATTTACAAAAAAAAATGTTGCCACTTTTTGTTGGGACAGTCTTGCTATATTGCTCAGGCTGGTCTTATGATGGTTGTTTACAATGAAGATTGTCCTGCCTCAGTCTCTAGAGTGTTGAAATTACAGGCATGCGCTACCACGCCTGGTTTTATATTGTAATTTAATAAAATTATAAGTAATCTGTTGCAGTTTTCCTCAACCTCAGGTTTTATTCTGAAAGTGTCTAGCATTGCTGAAGTCAACAAAGCAGTAGAAACTGGATCAGAGAATGGCAAATACCTATGTCACTGCGCCTGATGGGTACTGTCTTGCCGAACCCGCACAGCATTTCGGTATGTAATAAGAAACTGTAGTAGATCTGTTAAAACATTTGTGTGTGTGTGTGTGTGTGTGTGTGTGTGTGTGTGGCTGGAGAGATGGCTCAGCAGTTAAGCTAATCAGGAAAGCACTTAGACCAGACTCTGATTCCCAGCACCCATAAGCTGTCTCTCAACTGTCTGTCCCAGTTCCAGAGGGTTCAGTCCCCTTCTCTGGCCTCTACAGGCACCAGGCACACCAGAAGTGCACAGACATACATTAATGCAAAATTCTCTCACACACAAAATAAATAAATCTAAAAAATGTATTCGATTAAAAATTAACTTGCAAGAATTGAAGTTAGCTTTAAGGACAAATAACATAAATTTATGTTAAATTGAACCTGAACTAAAGGCTCAATAGCCTCTTCAATCCTTGAAAAAAATTGTAAAGATTTAGTTATTTTCTTCTTTACGTGTATGTCTCTGTGTGACTGAGTGGATCTTCTGTGTAATGTGAGTGCAGGTGCCTGGGAAGCTGAGAAGAGGGTGTCAGGTCCCCTGCACCTGGAGTTACAGGCAGTTGTGAGTCACCAAGTGGATTCTGGGAAATGAACCCCGGATTCTCTGCAAGAGGGGCAAGGGCTCTTAGTTACTGGGCCATCTCCCAACACCCGACTATACTTGAGATTTTAGTCTTAGTGTAAGTCTTGGAAAAAAGAAGGAAAGGAGAAAGGAAGGCAAGTGATGCTAGAGATTTCCACATAGAGGCTAAGCCTGTGATATGATGATATCACACCCAGTTCATAAAGGGGCTCGAACTCTCATTTCCACAGGGCAGAAAAAGCCTAATTATTTACTGAGTCTTTGCTTTTTCCTATTTTTTTTTTGTGTGTTGCTGGGGATTGCACCCAGGACCCAGCATGCTGTGGGAGCACTTTACCGCTGAACCGTTTCCCCAGAAACGTTTGTCTTCTATCAGACTATTTGGTAGTACTCAGCACTGCACTGGTGTTGGATGCTGTGGACTGTAATGACTCGTGTGAATTATTTTAGTGAATAAAAACTACCTGTTAACTGCTCTTGACAGTAGAAATTTGAAGTCTACTTATTTTGGCAGTTAGTCAGTCACTTTCTTCTGTGTGCTATAGAATGTCAGGCAGACTCTTTCATGAAGCAGAAACCCTGAAGGACTTTCTCAGTTTCTTTAGGCAAGTTCAGCAGTCATTTCTCTGTGGGTCCTGCATGTCCAGTTCATCAAGCAGACCAGGCAAGAGTAGTTTCTTGCCCAAATGGCTAACAAATTCCATAAGGAGTCTCTTCGATGCCCATCTTTTTCTTGAGTAGATTGATGCTGCCAGGAGCAGATGTGTCTCATTGTCATGAAAAGTCCTAACAACAACTTCTTCTTCTTCTTCTTCTTCTTCTTCTTCTTCTTCTTCTTCTTCTTCTCCTTCTCCTTCTCCTTCTCCTTCTCCTTCTCCTTCTCCTTCTCCTTCTCCTTCTCCTTCTCCTTCTCCTTCTCCTCCTCCTCCTCCTCCTCCTCCTCCTCCTCCTCCTCCTCCTCCTCCTTCTTTTTGTAGTTTTTCGAAACAGGGTTTCTTTGTAGCTTTAGAGCCTGTCCTGGAACTAGTTCTTGTAGACCAGGTTGGCCTCAAACTCACAGAGATCTGCCTGCCTCTGCCTCCCGAGTGCTGGAATTAAAGGTGTGTGCCAGCACTGCCCAGCTGTGAAAAGTCCTAACTTCTTAAAATATTTTAAATGCCATATTTAGAAGGTCTCTGAAAGATTTCAAGAATACCTATCTAACTGAAATAGATCTCTATTTGTCTAGAAAACCTAACTAATATGACTATAAGCTTGACTATTATAGATGACTCCCTATTAACCTATATTCCATTATACATTACATTTTTAAATAAGTTGCACAAACATTATACCTTAATTAAGACCAGAAATATATATACACAGTATAATAAAACTGACCTTAAGTTTGTATCAATAAACCAAGATCCATATCAATGCAAAGTATTCATCTCTATAACATATCCTCCTTTAAATGTAAACAAACATTTATAGACAATATTTTGGAATATGGGCATAGTTCTTCTCCAAACTGCTTCCTGCTGTTTATTCGGCAATGTAATTTTTGGGGGTGTTCACAGAGCCCTTTCAGGGTGTCTTGATCCATCAAACCACATTAGTCTAGAAGAAATCCACGGGTCCTCATCCCCTGTGGAAACAAACGAAGAACCTCTTTTTCCAAAGCAACCTATCCTTACACCCAAATTCTGAGTCAAGATACCTTTATAATATACATGCTAGTTTAGCTTAACAGCCCATACAATGAAACGTCTCTCTGTACTTAGCTTCTTCACAGTCAAAAAATTCAAAGAAAGCACAATAATATACATCATTCAGACTCTCTGTGCACATTTCATCTTTATGTGTCTTGTTTTTACTCTATTTCTTTTTAATTTTTTTATTATCTTTACTCCTTTTATCTATGACTGTCTGTACTCTGTCTCTTTATTTTTTATAAACCATTTACTTCTTTTTATAACTCTCTATTCCCTTTATCTTCTCTCCCAAGCCCACATGTATTTTTTTAAACACACTGTGTCTCATTTAAAGGTCTTTTAAATCTGAATTTGTCTTTTTTGTGTATCTGCATTTATTTTCTGACCAGAAGTGCTTCTTAAAATGCTAAGCCCTTCTAATGAATGTAATCGGTAGGGGACATAACCATTGGTAGGGGAAATACGGAAGTGCCTGCTTGCCCTGCTCATTTCAGCATGGCAGAGCTGTTTGTTGCCATTGAGAGCCATGCTCACAGCCCCATTTTTATGCACACAGCCAATCTATGTTGCCATTAAGCAAGGTGTAGCAGTCTGCTCACAAAAACCATTTAAATGCTCTATTGCTGGACCTTGTTAGAGTTCATGCTGGCAGCACAGCCCAGAAAGCCAGCATTTCAAAATGGCAACTTTTTTTCATGCTACTGCTGAATTAGGAAGACCTCTCTTAAAGAAGCCATTCTCTGCTTACTTCCAGAAAACAGAGCTCACCCAAGAAGATGCCTCTATCAAACCATGCTTAACTCTGTTCTTTTGTGTCTAGGATTTTTAAGCTTTCTCAGGTTTTATATGGATTTAATCTACTGTGTTGGTGTGTCAGTTTATTTCGAGGAAGGCTGCTTGTTGGTTCCCTGCTGCTCAGCCCCAAAATAATCACACAGAAACTATAACATTTAAATCACCGCTTGGCCCGTTAGCTCTAGTTTCTTGTTGATTAACTCTTACACATTAATTTAACCCATTTCTATTAATCTGTGTATTGCCATGTGTCAGTGGCTTACCAGGTAAAGTTCCGTCTGGCCCCAGTGGGGCTATATGGCTTCTTTATAACTCTGCCTTCTTCTCCCCAGCATTCAGTTTAGTCTATGTTTCCTTCCACACCCACCCCCCTGCCTAGCTCTGTTCTATCCTATCACAGGCTCAAGACAGTTTCTTTATTAACCAATGATATTCACAGTATACAGAGAGGAATCCCACATGAGGAAGTGGGTCCAAACTTGACATTACCAAATTATACCAAGAGGCACTGCTCTGTATGACTTGGATGGGCAGGTGTTTGCAAAGTACCCAGGACTTTTCTAGATAAGGAGCCTAGGCAATGGCCTAGTTAACACAGGACTTATGGGGCATGGCTGTGGTCAGCCCGCCTCGGTCTGTGTGTGGAATGCTCAGTGTATTCTTTCTGAGCCTGTAGGCTTCTCTGCTTAGGGCTTTGCTTCCTAGAAGACTTGTTTCTGAGAGGGACGGATTTCCCACTTATGTATTGAGACAGTAGCCATAACAAAGGAAATGCAAAAGGTCGGGGAAAAAATCAATTAAAAGCTGGGATATATTCCCTTTTCCCTAAGGAGAGAGACTAGATTAGTGTATCCACCACTAACTCTTTCTTCTGGTTCCTGATCCACCTCTGTACTCTTCTGGGGTGATAGCATCTATTCAGTATTGTAGTTCTATGTACTGTGTTCCTATTATGTTGGACAGGAAGCCCTAAGGTGCAGTGTTGAACTAACATTCTGGTTGAACATAAAACATTTTGGAGTTTGAAAACAAATATGAACATTTGATATTATGTATTTATTTATTCTTTTTTGTGTTAATAAAACTAGATATTTTGCCAGAACAAATCCATTACCAGCTGTGTGACACCGATTTCCAAGACCCACCCTATTGTCCGTATTCTACTGCTCAGTTCCCTCCAGCTCTACAGTCCCCAACTTTACAAAGCCATTTCAACACATATGGCTTGGATCCACACTACGGTGGTGGCGGTTGGAGGGGACTTGATGCTCGTGAATCGAGTCAGTCCACTTACATGGTTGCTCACAATGAGGAGGATGGATTCCCTGGGATACAAAGCTCCCAACCAACTTGTTCTTTCCGCTGGAAGGGGCAAGATGAGCTCTGCGTGGTCTGCGGTGATAAGGCGTCTGGATATCACTACAATGCACTTACTTGTGAAGGCTGCAAAGGTAAGGGCTAAGACATAGCAAAACAGACAGCGCTGCACACTCCTGGTGTGCACACACAGGCAGAACACCCACACACGTAGAAAATGCTTCAAAAAAACTCAAGCAATCATCTCTTCTCCTTTGGGCTAAGATCAAGTGTAAGCCATGAGAAACAAAACCAGGCAGAAGCAAGTTTAAAGGGATCAATCTGTATCAAAGGCAGGAGAATAAAATGTTAAGTTTAGGGTTAGTTTCTCTCCTTCTTTTCCTTCCTTCTGTCATTCCTTCCTTTATTCCTTCTTTTCTTTTCTTTTCTTTCTTTCTTTCTTCTTCTTCTTTTTTTTTTAAAACAGGGTCTCAGTGTATAGCCCTGGTTGTCTTAGAACTCCTTATGTAGACCAGGTTGGCCTTGAACCCTAAGAGATCTGCTTGCTTCTGCTTTCTAAGTAATGGAATTAAAGGTACTGGCATGTACCACCATGCCAGATCCTAGGGTTAATTTCTTTCCTTCCCCTCTTCCTCCTCTTCTTCTTCAGTTTCTTCTCCTTTTTGGAGACCAGGTCTTTCTATGAAGCCCGGGCTGCCCTGGAACTCATTGTAAAGACCAGACTCTCCTTGAACTCGCAGACATCCACCTGCCTCTGTCTTTCAAGTGCTGATATTAAGGGCCTTCCCTACTAGATCTGCCTCTTCATTTTTGATGAGGAGTTTCACATTTCAGTATAAAATTCAATACATACAAGCGAAGGTTTTCCTTTTTCCTGGAAGAATTTGATGCTGGAACAAAAACATAACCTTCTATTAAGATCAGAATGTTAACCATGACATCTTTTTATGTGGTTGAAAGAATTTACACTCTTGGAGAAAATCTGAAATAAATGACTTCTCTGATTCTAAGTCAAAAGATTTTTTTTCTTGGTAAAGAAAGAGAAGAAATTGAAAGTCTGGATGCAAAAGGCAGTGTTTGTGAAGAGTGAGAGTCTTCAATTCTAATGGTTATAAGCAGTCTGGCCCTTCCTTAACCAATAAGTGTAGGGACGGGAATGCAGGCAGGCGCCAGGGCGCTTAGCACCTCATTTTGGATTTGATCCTAGCACCCTCAGAAACTAACCAAGCCAAACAACAAACAGTTATGGCACTGTAACATAAACAAACGTGTATGTTCAGGGTAAAATTTTACCTGTAAGTCTTCTCAACACTTGTAAAGAATTGCCAAATGGAGACTACAGGAAATGAGGTAACAGCATCCTGAGTAGCTGGGCAAGGCAAGGCTGCTTTTAAATTCAGCATCTCCCCGTTGAAACTGAGCTGAACAACGAGGTACAGTTTTGAAAACCGAAGCTGAGCTTTTATTTTGTTGAATTGAAATCATGAAACAACTCTCTCAAGTGTCTACCGAAAGTGAATATGTGGCAGAATTTTAGAAGGGGCATTGACTAAGCTGGCAACCTCGCTGGAGAGAGCAGAAAATGGCAGGGATTACCCTATTGGATGAGGAGTGAAGCTGGAGAGGGAAGAGAAGGGCTTTCTCCTCAGAGGCGGAAGGGCTCCACAAGGGGGCGGGGCAGTCTGGAGCGGCTCTCCTGTCTTTGTGGGCTAAAATCAAAATGTGGGGAAAGAGAGGCTTTTCTGACATTTTTGTTTTAGATGATCACATATTCTATCAAAGGAACATTGAGCGATGCTTTGTGGGATCTTGATATTCTGTAAAATGTTAAAAAAATTCTTACAGGTAATTTACCTATAATAGAATAGAGTCATCTTAATGTGATAATCTCCAGATGTTATAGCGTAAAGGACAACCTCATGAAGGACTGAGTATACCGATTGGAAAGAATTAGGTAACTTTCCAGATAAATGTATATTTAAGAAATACACATTTTATTTTATTGAACTAATCTAGTTAACTTGATTACTTTATTATAAAGGTAAAATGTTAATAAAATGAGCAGTAGCTAAAAATATCAATGTTCAACTTTGAAAACTTTTGTCCTTAGGTTTTTTCCGCCGTAGCATCACCAAAAATGCAGTCTACAGGTGCAAGAATGGCGGCCACTGTGAGATGGATATGTACATGCGCAGAAAATGCCAAGAGTGCAGACTGAAGAAGTGCAAGGCAGTGGGGATGCTGGCAGAATGTAAGAGCCACTGTGTTTGTGGCTTGGTTTTGTTTTTCTGAGGGGATTCAACATTTTTCCAACTTTAATTACCTAGCAAGGAAGTCACCATGATCATGTAGGTGGTTTCCCGGGGCAAGGCTCCCCCATTGCACCAGGATGTGCTGACCCCTATGATTTCCACAAATGTGGGAAGCTCAGCTGCATAATTTGTACTGGGCGGGGGGGGGGGGGCGGGCTCCTTTCACCCTCCCCTCTGTACAATAACATTGAATTTAAAAATAATAAAACAGCCAGGTGGTGGTGGCTCATGCTTTTAATCCCAGCACTCGGGAGGCAGAGGCAGGTGAATCTCTGTGAGTGTCAGGCCAGCCTGGTCTACAGAGGGAATTCTAGGATAGCCAGGGCTGGTACACAGAGAAACTCCATCCCGAAAAACCAAAAAATAAAAATAAAATAAAAATTGCAACCTTATTGAGAATAAAGCATTCTTTAGGAGTTATTTTAATATTGTCATATTTGTTTACATATGGACACATGCACACCACACACATGTGTACATTGATTGCTCAGTATGGATGGCATTTTAAATTTAAGTAGTGATTTCCATAAACTTTTCTCTATACTATTTTGCTCTAGTTTTGGAATCAGTCAAAGATTCATTTTAATTAGAAGTTCTTTTGGGGCTGGAGAGTTAGCTCAGCAGTTAACGGCACTTAGTGCTCTTGCCCAGTTCCTAGTCTGCATGGCAGTTATTCACAGCCTCAGTTACAGAGGATCCAGCACCCTCTTCTGACCTCCGCAGGAACCAGGCATGCAAGCAACACACACACATAAAATAATATACATAATATTTAAATGATCTTGCATTTTAATGTTACTTAACCTAAAATTATATACCGAGTGGAAAAAGTGCAAAATTTAAAGGTAGTAGTTCTCAAAAGCCTTCCTGTTATCCAGGTATCCACAGCTCACTAGTAGTTAATACATGGCTATCGGGACCTGTCTCCAAATACCCTTAGCGATTAGCCCGTTAACATATGAGGCTTGGGAGGCGCAATTCAGACCAAAGAAACCCTGGAAAAATTGTCTTTTATTTATTAATTTATTTTATAGACAGAATCTCATTATGTAGCTGGTCTGGAACTTGAGAAGTATGCCAGGCTGCCCTCAAACTCATCGAGATCCCCCTGCCTCTGCCCTCCAAGTGCTGGGATTAATCACGTCTGCCACCGTACCTGGACCAAAAGTTGCCTTTTAACCTGTGTCAGAAAATGCTTGTGAAAGGAACTCAGAGTCTTCTGAGGGGCTCAATAAGAGAAATGAAGCACCCTTTGCTGTAACTTCAAGGAATTATTGTAAGCAGAGGCTGTGCTTTGTTTCCTGGCCACCCAGACCCAAATAATCACATGAAAACTTTATTACTTACAACAATATGGCTCAGGCATATTTCTAGCTAGTTCTTACATCTTAAATTAACCTACTTCTATTATTTTATATTTTACCATGAGGCTTGTGGCTTGTTACCTCTTGCTTCTTGGGTGGTTACATGGCATCTTTCTCCTTCGGTAGCAAACGGCGTCTCTTTGATTCCACCTAGTCTTGCTCTATATCTCTGTTCGGATTTCCCGCCTGGCTTTATTTTGCCCTGCCATAGGTCAAAGAAACTTCTTTATTAATCAATGGTAATAAAACACATTCATAGCATACAGAGGGGGAATCCCACATCAAACTGTGGCAAGATGAAGCAAAAGAATTGATGAGCATAATTATTGTGATGGGTGAACATAAGCCTTATTCACATTATTTTATTCTTACTCATCCATATCCTGCCGCCATTGCTGTAGCTCTTCATAGCATGTTTACCCAGTTGTCCTAATACCTAATACTTTGATCATCCCTTCCTCTTCTCCACTTCCTCCCCTTCTCTTCTTCCCCTTCTTTCTCCTTCTTTTCTCCTCTCTTCTCCCCTCATTCATATCCTCCTTCTCCCTTCCTTCTCCCTTTCTTCTTCTTCTTCCTCCTTAGTTTTCCTTCTTGTGGCGTTGAAGGTTGAGCTCAGGTTTTTCCATATATTTTACAATCTATCACTAAACTACATCCATGGACTCCTTTTTTACTTAAAAAAAAAAAAAGAAGACAGGTTCTGTTCAAGTTTCCAAGGCTGGATTCAGCTTGTGATCCTCTTCTTATAGGCGCTTGAATAATTGGGTTACAGGTGTGTAACTACCACATCCAATATTTGATAGGTTTAAAATGGTTTCATATTTTTGGGTATTCTTGTTCTCTGACAAATAATAATATAGAAGGATTTTAAGGTTTGTGTTTTGTGGTATATTTCAGTTCCTCATTTATTTTTATTTAATAGGTGTGTTTTAAATATTTATGAATATGACAGGTATATTGATACTTGTATAATTTTGAGTAGTGACTTATGGTAGCTGTTGCTGGTTCAGTAAAGGCACCAATGGACGATTAAACATTCTATAAAAGCAATAAACATCAGGCTGGAGAAACAGCTCAGCATTTAAGAACATGCACTGCTCTTGCAGAAGACCCGAGTTCAGGTTCCAGCACCTGCATTGTGAGGGTCACAACCGAGAACAATTCCAGCTCAAGGGGATGTGACTCTTCTGGCATCTGTGGGCACCTGCAGTCACGGGTGCATAACCACACACAAATTCATTAAAAGTAAATCTTTAAAATCAAACAAGCAAAACAACCCTCAAATAAATATTATTCACATTTGAAAAATAACTAAATGCTTTGTCTGGCTTGTAGGAAAAATTGAATTAGCTTATTTTGAAAATCCCAAGAGAGTCTTTCTTAGTAAAGCCAGTGATAAAAGTTATAGATAGGTAATTCTACTACTTTGTAAAATGACAGTCTCATTTCCAAGATGCAATTAATGTGTAAATTTTTTGTGTAAAAATCTAAACATAATTTGGAAATCAAAAATTAGCTCTTAGGTTTTGTCTGGTATGACCGCATTTCAAGGAGACAAGATAGCCATGAAGGGAAAGTAACACCGGACAGTTCGTTAAAGCACACATGCACAAGAGACGTCTGTGATCATATACTCATATAAGACCATTTTCATAAAATCCTACAGTGTTATCTTCTGAGACAAAAATGCTTTGTGTGAATTTTGTAACATCACAGGTTTGCTCACAGAGATCCAGTGTAAGTCAAAGAGGCTTCGCAAGAACTTCAAGCAGAAGATTGCCCTTTACTTGGATGTCCAAGGGGAAGATGACGGAGCAGACAGCAAGCTTGTGTCATCCACCACCAGATCTGGAAAAGGGGCAAGACTTTGCTTCCATACCATCTGCTGTTTCTTTATTGACAATGGACGTGCTAGGCACATCTTACAGGTGCCCTCTGTTTCCTTACAGGTTCAGGAAAGCATGACACTAACTCAAGAGGAACATCATCTTATGAATACCATAGTGACTGCTCACCAACAATTCACGGTCCCTCTAGGGGAAACAAGTACCTTTGTATGTATCCACCACTGGCAAGAAATAACTTGTAATGACTGTTATTGGGAAATGATAGCAAAAATGGCTAAAACGTCAGTAATTACCTGAAAGAAAATACCATTTATCATTTTTATTTCTTTTTTATGGATTCGCTGCAGGAGTATTCCAACCCTGAACTAAGTTTTCTGAGACTCTCAGAGGCAGCAGTCCCACACATACATATGCTGATAAATTTTACCAAGGGACTCCCAGGTAAGATTCTGCTTCATTATTTTTTTTAAAGATTTATTTATTTTTATTTTTTGTGTTATGCACGTTTTGCCTGCAAGTATGCATTCATACCATGTACACACCATATCATGGAGGTCAGAAGAGAATGTGGGATCCCGTGGAACTGGAGTTACTGACGGTTGTGAGTCACCGTGTGGGTGCTGGTAACCAAACCCAGGTCCTCTGCAAGAATAACAAATGCTCACAACCACTGAGCTATCTCTCCAGCCCCAAATTCTCTGTTTTTAAGGTAAAGGGGTAGCACAGCAAAACAAAACCTCTAATGTGAGATTGATTACACAGCTCAGTGACAGGACACTCGTCTAATGTGTGGGAGGCACTGGCTTCAGTGGAAAACTTTATTTTTCCAGTAATGCTACTTCTAACTTAAAAAAAAGCTTATGTTATGCACTTCAATTAATCAGGTGGGTGTTAATCTAAATATTTACAAAATTTATTATAACGATGTAGTTTTTTTTCAAATGAATCAGGAAACAAAGACATTCCCTATAGTACTAGAACAAGTCATAGTTGACTAAAACTTAGTTATATATAACTCAGTTTCTTTATATATGCAGGTACAATAGCTCACTGTAAAATTACATTCAAGACTAAAGCAGCTATATTTGATGTGTTATTGCTAGAAGAGAACTGTCACCTAGTTCTGATAAAAGTCTAAAATATTACCTCATAGAATCAATAATTTTATTCAGACTTGAATTTATGTATTGTGATTATTCCCAAGAAGCATTTAAGGATGATAGGCAAAGAAATATTTTTTAAACATTGAATTCATGAATATTATCTTTTGATTATCTTGTTTCTTCATGCTTTGTTTTTTTAAGGATTTGAAAATTTAACCAGTGAGGATCAGAGTGCATTACAGAAGGAGTCGAAGACTGAAGTGATGTTCCTTCTCGCAGCCCAGCTTTACAGCGGGAAAGAATCAACCTCTGGAAGTAAAAAGAAAAAAAGATTTCCATCTAACTTTCACATAGTCATGTTAAACTTAGCAACAAATTATGTAATATTAAGCATTCACATACAGAAACACATTTTTAAACACTGTTTTTTGGAAATAGACTCTCATGTGCCTTAGGTGTCCTAGAACTCACTATATAGCCAAGGAGCATCTTGAACTCCTGATGCTCCTGCTCCCACCTGCCGGTTGATGAGACTACGTATGCATGCCTCTATGTCTCTATGTCTGGTGTATGTGGTGCTGGGGATGGGGATCAGGGCCTTGGGCATGTTAAGCAAGAACTCTACTCATTGAGTCATAACATCAGCCTCTTTTTATTTTTTCATTTTATTTTACCAATTAGTGTAGAAACAAATGCCTCATGATAGCTGTTTATAAATAGTTTTCTAATATATTCATCCAGCATTTTTTCTCTCAAAAAAGTCATTCTTTTTAAAGTTGAATTTTTTTTGTTCTTGTGAGAATTTTGCAAACAGAGACTGTTCTTTCATTCCCAGGCACCCAGACCTGAATATTCACACAGAAACTATATTAATTGCAACATTGTTTGGCCAGTGGCTCAGTCGTATTGCTAGCTAGCTCTTACATCTTAAATCAACCCATTTCTATTAATCTATGCATTGCTACAAGCCGTGGCTTTCTGCGAGGTTCTGGCATCCTTCTCCTTCAGCAGCTGCATGGCATCTCCCTGACACCGCCTTCTTTCCTCCTCTATCTTTGCTTGGATTTTCTGCGTTGTTGTATTCTGCTCTGCTATAGGCCAAAGTAGCTTAATTATTAGCCAATGGTAATATTCATACCATACAGAGAGGAGTCCCACATCAGAATTTCATACATGTATACAAATTTTTTCGATCACACTCACCCCACTTCCTCCTTCTCCAGCTCCCCCAGGATTCCCCACACATTTTTCTCCTCATTTCCTGTCCTCCCCTACCCTTCTTAAAAATAACTTAGTGACTCTAATTAGTGCTCATATGCACATGGGTGTGGGCTCATCCGCTGGAGCTTGTCAACTTTGAGGGACCAGGCCCCTAAAGAAAGAAACTGTATTCTCCCCCCACAGCAGCTGTCAATAACCAACTGCTCCTTGGCTTGGGTGGGTGGGGGCTTCTGTGCTCGTAAGCCAGGCTCTTCTATGGCAAGGACTTTCACAGGTGTTAAAACATTAAGGCGATGATGATTCTAAGACACAATGGAGCTCTAGGTGAAGACTGTGTGCTGGCTTTGAAACTCACAACTATAGGCTGCTTATCTGTAGAGCGCCTCTGCGGAGGGGTAAAGTAGGCTAGTGTTGAATTTACTGTCCAGTACCTGTGACTTTGGAGCCTGTCCTGGAACTAGTTATTGTAGACCAGGCTGGCCTCGAACTCACAGCGATCCGCCTGCCTCTGCCTCCCAAGAGCTGGGATTAAAGGTGTGCACCATCACCACCCGGCAGAAATACGTTTTTTTGTTTTTGTTTTTTGTTTTTTTAAATCAATCAACCCTTTGAGTAGAGCAGGAAACCCATCATTGTTCTAGTGTGTGCATGCAATAATTCAAAAGTTCTATGTTGGTTGAGGATAAGGGAAGAAGCAAAATGACAAAAACAAAACCAACAAAACATTTTGCCAGCAATGTCAGCTGCCTTCACTAGCTGCACTTGCTACAGTGCTAACCTTTTTAAATGTACTTATTTATTGGTTGTTCTTCCCTGTATACACTAAACCATAAGGTTGCTAATGGGAGGCTCTTGATATCCCAGTCCCTGATTGTTTGAATAGTGTTTGCTTTAGAGTCTCTGCAGCCTCTGATGCACTGAAGAAATGCTTGGAGGGTGTGCGTGTTTAAGAAAGGCAATCTTTATAGTATCGTGGAAAACTCATTTTAGAGGGTCTTCTCTATACTCTTTCTACAAAATATGAACTATTAATCTGTTTTTACATTCCAGTAACAAAAATGCTAAAGATATTATTTTAGGGGATTGTTTTTCACCCGATAGTTATGTTGGATTCTGAAAAGATAGTGGATTTACTCTCTATATAATGATTAGGGGAAAAATTAGAGTTTGTACTTTTCTCTTTTGCTAGGTACTATGAGACCATCAAAGCCCTCAGCTCCTGCAGTGAAAGCGCATAATCAGGGCAATGATGAAAATGTTTATTCTTTGGAAAACCTTTTCAAGGAAGGCGGTCCTTCTGCTACTCTAACTGGTAACCTCGTGCAATACAAAGTATCATCCTGGGTGACCTTGCTTCCTTTTCTCCCTTCTTTTAATTTTATTACAAGGAGAATGCCATGGGCTCTTCATACAGTTGCTGGTTTGTCTGCCAAGAGTGTTTCAGTGGTGAAACCCTTTGTGGACACAGCCACTACATTTGTTATCGTGAGGCAGGTCACCAGTGAGCGTTCTGTTTGTAATCATCTTCTTCTGGCTACAACACTGCAATTCTTTCCAATATATAGGTGGGGACCTTCTGAATTGTTCTTGCGGGTGCTTTTCAAAGTTTCCTAGGATGCTGATATCATATACAGCCAACATCACAGTATCAATGACTTTATGGGTAAAAGAGTGAGCCTTACTGTGGATAAGAAGCTCCCAGAGAGGGGCTTCTGCAGGCTAAAGGCTCTCAGTCCCACAGTCTCCTATTTGGACCACATGGTGACACCCTGCCATTGTTCTGGTTTTTCTCAACTGCCCACCTACTGAGCCCACCACTGAGTTTCAGGCACGGCCTTCAAGAGCACACACAGCAAAGGGAATTGTTCTTGCTGTTCGTCACAGAGGCGGCCATCCTGAGTCCCACCCTTGCTTCATTTTTCTTAGATTTGTTTGAGAGAAAGAAAGATAATCACAATATGTTTGCGTTTGTTGCATTCTGATGAAAATACACTTATATTGATCTTTTTAGGTATTACTAAAGAATTCATTGCCTCACTGTCTTACTTCTACAGAAGAATGAGTGAACTTAATGTAACAGATACTGAATATGCTCTGCTTACAGCAACAACAGTGCTTTTCTCAGGTAAAAACTGTCAGCTTTAAGGCAGTGGGTGACATCTGCGCGGGATCACAAAGTTGCTGGCTATTAATCTGCTCACTGAAGTCGAATGCAGTGATCATTCCATCAGAGTTTGCTCGATGAGACTCCTTTTAGCTCTCCGCAGTGTTGTAACTTCCTGCATCTCAAAATGGCTTTCCTGCCCTCATGCGCTCTTGGATACACCCTCCCAAGCCCCTGAGAGAGAAAGTTTCTTTAGGGAGTTAGCTATAATCTAATCTCCATTTTACTTCTCTTACTCTTGAATCCTCTACAGTCAGATTTCACTCCATCCTGTCCAGTTCACCACAACCCGTCAATAGCTTCAGGTTCTTGGCATTGCTGATCCTACAGGGCAGTTCTCCTCGGTCTTCATCCTACTCAACCCATTAGTTATGATTGGTAGAGAGCTCATAAGCACTTAAAAGAAAACAATAGGACTTCCTGTTTCCTGTGAGCCTTCGGGTGGAGTTTTGTAGCCATGATGAAGATCTCTGGTGTGTTGGGAGGATTCGTCATGTTTTTTGTGTCAGTTCATCATCTTCTTGACATGATGCAGTCCGCTTTACACACTGGCTCCAGGTTAAAGTGAGACAGTCGCTCAGCATGGGTACCACACTGCTTCAGGCCACTGAAGTCTTCCCAGGGTACCCCTGCCCCGTCTTGATTGATCAGGCAGGACAGATGTATGTTCTTTTTTTTAATTCTAACTTTCTGTGGCATCAGGGTTCAAGAAGGCTCACTAGGTACGCCCATTGAAAGGGCAATCATGTAGGCTCCAGTGCAGCCAGATTTCATTATCCACTTTCCAGTACTGGATAGCAGTATTTACAGTCATCTGAACTTGAATATTTGGAAAACCAGCTAAGAGTGTTACCTAGGAAAAGTTCACCCTGACTGGACCATAAAAGTCTTCTTTCTTTCAGTTCAGTTTAGGAATTCAGCTGCAAATTTTGCATGGAGCAGTAGCTTAGAACTCAGGTGTGCTGTCTGTCTGAGGATTTCACTGCCTCTTAGAAGTGGGACTAACAATGTGCGTGGCCAACATCCTTTATACTTTTCAGTGGAATCTTCTAAAACAAGGAACATGCCATGCACTCTACATATAAAAATGTTTTCAGTGGGGCACAGGGTTCGCCTAAATTATACATTTGTCATTAAGATACTTGTCATTGAAGTTTTATGATGAGAAAAACTTCATCACTTTTACCTCTCCCTTCAGTTGATCCCTGTTTATGTCTGTTCTCAGGGCTCAGATATTTATTCCCAACAACTTACCCGCTCATGATCTTGGCACTCCTGCTCACTGTTAGGTGGAAATGTTAGGTTCTCCTTGCAGACTGTAGTCCAGCCAACACCGTGTTGATACTCAATACCACAAACAGAACCAAAATTGTGCAAAAACTGTCATTAAGCATGACAATCTTAAGACATTTCCACTCCAAACCAAACCACCCAACCACTAACTCATATGAGCGTTTTTCTTTTGTTAGCCATTTAAAAATATTTATTTATTTGTGTATATTTATGTGTGTGTTTGTGCGTGTACATATCACATATGTGGAAGTCAGATGACACCCTATGGAAGTTGGTTCTCTCGTTCCACCATGTGGGTCCTGGAGATTGTACTCAGATAGTCAGGCCTCTCTGACTGAGGCATCCCACCAACCCTGAGAGCTTTTTCATTTCACTGAATCTCAGGAACACCACCCCCTCTTGATTTTTTCCTGTTTGTTGGCAATTCTGTGTCTCCCTTATCTCTCCTCTTCATCTCTCACAATGATAAATATTTAAGTTGCTCGAAGACTCAGTTTTCTTTTAAATGAACTCATTATTTTATGAGTATGTTTTGTCTGCATCTGGTGCACCATGGTGTGCCTTGGGCTGCCGAGGTCAAAAGATGCCAGATCTGACAAGGCCCTGCTTTCCTCTGTACTCACTTCCTTTATGGCTTCATCCTATCTCTTGGCATTAAAAGTCTGTGCGTATCTGATACTCGCAAACTTACCTGCCAACTTGGTGTGCTCCCCCAGAGTTTATTAAATAGACTCCTTAAGATTCCAAGCTGAACACCAGAGACTTTTCAGCCTCATCCTTTTATATTTCCCCTCAACTTGTACTAAACCATATCTTCATCTTCCAAATTGCAGGTGCAAATTAAAAAAATTCTTAACATCTTTTCTTTCTCCTATACTAATAACACATATACATCAAATCTGTTGGTTTAATTCTAAAGTATATCTCTAGCACTTAACCCTATCCTTCCTTCCGTCTGCCCATCTTTCTTTTATCTATCTATCTATCTATCTATCTATCTATCTATCTATCTATCTATCTATCTATCTATCTATCTACCTATTTGAGACAGGGATTCTTGGTGTAGCCCTGGCTGTTCTGGAACTCACTCTGTAGACCACGCTGGCCTCAAACTCAGAGATACAACTGCTTCTGAATCCTGAATGCTGGGATTAAAGGTGTGTTCCACCACTGCCTGGTTTACTTCTTACTGTTTCTAGCCTAAGCAGTGTACTTGAATCCACTTATCTAACTGAATTTTCTGATTCTGTGCTCTTTGACTTTCTCTCCATTAGTACTGAGAGGGACTCTCTGAAAATGTAAGTCAGATCATGCCATTCATTCCTCTGTTTGTACCCGTTGGTGGCTTCCTATTTTGCACAAATTGAAGCTAAAGTTCTTTCTATTATTCTCTGTTGTTCCTTTTCCTTTTTCCGTCTTCTACCTGGCCATTGCTTTTGACATAGAAATCCACTGAGCATGGCAAGCTCTTGTGCAGAGCCCACTGTTATTGATTCATCTTTTGCCTCTTTTTGCTCAGAGTCCTATCTGTTCCCTATTTACTTTTCTCCACAGCAATTCTTATTTTATTTTTGCTTTGTAAAATTTTTTAAATCTATATATTTTTGTTGATGTGTATGGTTTCCTTGTCTGCATATGATCTCCACGTGCACAGTGTCTGTGAATCCAGAAGAAGGCATCAGATCTCCTAGAACTGGAGTTACAGATGGTGGTGAACCACCATGTAGGTGTGGGGATTGAACCCCAGTATTTGGGAAGAATGGCTAGTGTTCTTAACTGCTGAGTGCTCTCTCCAGCCCTCTATTTTTGCTTCTTAAGATGTATTTGTCTTTCTCCTCCCCCACCCACTGCATATTAAGAACACAGGTACAATAAAGGGAGCCTGTGAGGTTCATTGCTGCATAGTTAGTGACCCTATGGATGAGGCTGCTGAAGCCTTCAGAATTTCCAAGTTGGCTCATATCTCAGGGTAGGAAGCCAAAACGTCTTACCCCTTGCTCTTCCCATTGGCTGTAGAGACATTACTTGCTATTTTAAAGATCCAGGCAAGCCTCTCACGGCTGTTATATTCCCACCATTATTCACTGATCCCTTCTTTCCCCTGGGACTGTGTGGAAATTAACGCTCTACATTTCGGGAAGCTGATCTGAAAAGTGTGATAAAAGTAGAGCGTAGAGCAATGGAATAACGTGAGATTAAGTAAAATGAGGAACAAAGACAATTATCAAGTCTAATGTGAATTAGGGTCCTGTAAGTACTTGTGACTCGTATTATTTAATAGCTGCATTATTTTAAATGAATTCATTATTTCTACCACTCTAAATCAACATTTAAGATAAATATGTTTTTCAGATCGTCCATGTCTTAAAAATAAGCAGCACGTAGAAAATTTACAAGAACCAGTTCTCCAGCTTTTGTTTAAATATTCGAAAGTGTACCGTCGGGAAGAGCCCCAGCATTTCGCTCACCTCATAGGGCGGCTTACTGAACTGAGAACTCTGAGTCACAGGCACTCGGAAATCCTCAGTGCCTGGGAAACAAAGGACCCCAGACTGCTTGTGTTACTCTCTGAGAAGTGGAATTTGCATGCATTTTACTGAAACAGAGAATTTTGAGGTTTGTCTTAAAATTTCAAAATCAAAATTGGATGACCGATTGGAAAATTGTAAACAAAACCACAGTGTTACCACACTTCACTATAAAATGGAGATCCCAAGGGCTCATCAGATTTTGTGGAATTTTGGACTCTACTCAGTAGAGAAACACTCTAGGATTCTTCTCAATGGAGCCATGTGGTGGCACATTTCCTGTGCTTGGGAGATGGTTGCAACAGCCTGACTTTAAGGCCATCCTGGGTTGGATAATAAGACTAAGAAAGAGAAGAACTGATGGCCATTGTTTCTTCATGAGTCCTTTACCTAAGGAAACGAATTGTTTTCATTTAGCTGAAAATATCCAATGTATAAATGTAAACAGAGGTTAGCTGATGGTTGTATAAGGCAGTGTGTCTGCCCCACTGATTAAGGACACAGTGATGGAATAAGAAGCTGGCTTAAACCTCTTCTTGTGATGGCATTTCATGGATGATTAAAGAGGAAAAGATCTTTTCCTATTGTGTCTGCTTTGTATTTTTGAAGAAGTATATGCTAATTATACAAAATAGTGAGTTCCACTGAGAAAATTTCATACCTGTATATAAGATATTTCAGTTGCATTTACCACCCACTGTGTACTCAGCACACAGTGCTGATGCCCTTCTTGTCCCCCCCACCACCACCCATTGTCTCCTTCTACTTCCATGTCTTAAAACAATACATTCACACATGCAGGAAAACATCTGACTCTAGTCTGAGTCTGGTTTATTTCCCTTTACATGAAGATGCCCATCTGTTTTTCTGCAAATGACATAGTTTCATTCCTCTTAAGGACTGAATTGTGCATGTATATCTGTGTATATCACATTTTATTTATCCACCCATCTGCTGATGGCACCTAGTTTGATGTCATATCTTGGCTGAAATGGATTTGCTGCAAGCTGCCGAGGTCCCAAAAGCAGCCAGTCTCAAGTAGGGATGGCTCATGATCACTCGGCAGGAAGGTGGCTGGTCCCTGGCAAGCCATGTGGGCAGGTGGTGGGTGTGAGGCAGACAGATAGGCACACCATACAGCGTGGAGCTGAACATTTATTTAGTGGTCATGGAAGGGAAGGGAGAAGGGTAGAAAGGTAGAGAAGGAGGGGGGAGAGAGAGAGAGAGAGAGAGAAGGGGGGAAGGGGAGAAGTGGGAAGAGGCAGAAGCTGCTTCTTCCTGAGAATGGGACAGGAAGAGAGGTTAAGACTGCAAGCAGGAAGGCAGTGGGCATGGCTTGTCTCTTAAAGAGATAGAACATTACATTGGCTACTGTGAATAGTGTTGTAATAAACATAACTATGTAGGTGTTACAATTTTATGTGGCTCTTGATTTAGGTGTTTTCCCAGAAATGGTGTAGATTATACAGTAGGTCTACTTTTAGATTTGAAGGAAATGATATAGTGATTTCCACAGTGACTACTTCTCAAGAGTGTATAAAGATTACTTTTCCTTCAAAATTCTTACCAACAGTTGTTTTTCCTTTCTTTTTTTTAATTAAAAAAAGTGTGTGTGTGTGTGTGTGTCTGTGTGTGTGTGTGTGTACCAAACACATTTGTGGACATCAGAGGACAGCTCTGTGGAGTGTGTTCTCTCCTTCCACTTTTATGTGTGTTCATGGATTGTCAGGCTTAGACACAAGAAAGACCCTTTATCTGCAGAACCGTCTCACTCCACCCCATCCTGCTGCACCCTGTGTGGCTTGGTGTGGAGGCTGAAAAATGCAGGCCCATTTCCACTTTGTCTGCTGGTCAGAGTTTGGAGACTGACAAGCATAGCTGCACATCCCAACTTAGGATGTGATTGCCTGATTCTTTTGAAATTAAGATAGCTCATTCTACTAAGTTCTTGCCATTCTGACAGGTGGTCGGGATATGCAAATGTACTTCTGCTCCTTCTTTTGTAACTCTGAGGTCACAGGGAGAGGGAGGTCTTTAGAATACCTGACCTAGAGCCCCTTTGCTACCTAGACAACAGAATGCTAATGATTTGATGTCTCAGAGCGATAAAGCAATCGACTGTGTGAGTCGGAAACAAAGACTCTATTAGAAATTGCATTAGAGACCACTTCTGTTAAATTCTGGCAAAGAACCTGGCCACATTATTCTCATATCCTGAGAAATTGAGGTTTAAATAATTAAAAAAAAAGGATTAATCTGGCAGAAGTTATTTCAAGATAGCATGCATTGGACTGTGGCATAGTTTTTTTTATTTCTACTGCTTTTAGCAATGTTTGCAGCAATTGAGCGGAAGAATATGAAAAATGTGTAGTTTTGTGGGGAAAGGTATAACGGATTAATTAAAAATGTTGCAGGATCCCTGAGTTGCTGCAGTGGGCAACGAGCCATGAGACCATGCCACAGACAGCGGGCCCTAGAGCAGCCAGTCCCAGGCAGGGATGGCACATGAGACTATACTGCAGGTCTCTGAAGGTGGCTGGTCCTGGGCAGCAGGCAACAGAGAGATGGATAGGTACACCATGCAGAGTGAGGTTGGATATTTATTTAGTGGGTTATGGAGGGAGAAAGGAGAAAGAGAGAAGAGCAGGGGGGAGAGAGGGGGGGAAGTGGAGAAGTGGGGAGGCAAAAGATGCCTCTTCAGGGAGAAAGAAAAGGGAAGAGACTCAGGAAGATCTGCCTACCTCAGTGGATGGGGGAGAGAGTGGGCGTGGCTTGTCTCTTAAAGAGACAGAAAGATCATTACAAAAGGATCTTCATCAAGCTTAGAGTTGCAGACAGGAGCGTATAATTATTAAAAATATTACTGCCATTAGGAGAAGCCTTTTGCTTCTCACTGGGACAGTAGCAGAGGTGCCTGGGACAGTAGCAGAGGTGCCTTGGGAAGAATGACTTATTAATTGAAGGCTCTAGCTTGCAAAAAAACCCAGATTCATTTGGAAAGGAGAGCGTGAGCTAGGAATGTATCTGAAGGGGTTCTTTGCAGGGGTCCCTGCCTGAAAACATTCTTCTAAAGCAGTGTTCCTCCAGATTTGGCCTTGAAGATATATGCAGGCTGCTGCAGTTGTGGCCCTGGGCCAGTCTCTGTCTCCAGTGGCAACAGAACGTGGAGAGCGGTGTTGACTCCGTGGGCAGACTAGATGCAAGAGTGAGGGGTCATGAATGTTCACACTGTCCACCGAGGCCAGGCAATGTGTGGTGGGGTCTGATTACTGGCAAGGAGGCCCCCGGAAGGCCATTGTATGAAGTTTGAAGGAGAAGCCTATCTTATAATGGAGACTTCAGCATGTGGGAGATGCCTGGACATCTGCTGAGGACAACTGCCGGCATGAAATGGAGCCAGCCCAAGAGAAAGGCTACCTTTCTCTCTCCTTCGGGAGAGTTGGGTCTCAGCTGGAATAATGCTACATCGAGCTATCCAAGGCTGCCCTTTTGATTTCCCTCCTTTATACTTAAGTTAAAACACACTGTTTTGATCTGTTAATGTGTTTCCCAGGTGATTCCTCATCTCCACGACCCCTGTGAGCATTTGTCCGTGCATCTTTTCCAAACAATCAAAACTGTTTCACTCAATAAACTTGAAGCATTCTTCATACAATGAATTTTCTTCCCAACCTGATCTTGCCAGCCTTGCTGCTCAAAATTGCCTCATGGGCCTCCTCTGTAAAGTCTAAAATATGCACCTCCTTCTTGTCCCCGGCTTTGAGTCTTCGTCTCTTCTTCTTTTTTTCATTTTTCTTTTTTTTTTGAGACAGGGTTTCTCTGTGGCTTTGGAGTCTGTCCTGCAACTAGCTTTTGTAGACCAGGCTGGCCTCGAACTCATCTCTCCTTTTTATCTTCAATCTCAGTTCTTGAATTTTGCCACTCAGTCTTCACACACCTGCATTGTACTTCTTGAACGCATAAGCCTAGCAGACAGCTCCATTGCTTTGTCCAGTTTGCACTTAGTTAGTGGTACTGACCTTCTAGCCAAGGCAGAAGCAGTGATAAGCACATACCACCTACTCCCCAAGCCATCTTTAGCACCACTTCCCTTGTCCTCCTTTTTACGGGACTGGAGGGTACTTTTTGCTCTAGCAGAGGATCCATATTGGTTTCCAGCACCCACATGGTAGCTAACAACCATCTGTAACTCCAGTTCCAAGGGATCCTATGCCCTCTTATGGCCATCCAGAACATTGTACACATGTGCTGCACATGTGTACATACATCCACGCACATAAATCACTCTTACCCACAAACTAGAAAGTAATACATCCTTTAAAAAAAAGAAAAGAAATGACAGGGCAATGTGATGGCTGGCACGCTTAGGGTGTGAGCGCCTCAGCTCGTTTGTTTTAGCACCCGGAGAGCTTCCCCAGTGTTCTCTGACAACACTGGCCGCTCACACAGAGTGCAGAATGGTGGAGAATCAGAACCTAGGCCCTTGGAAAGGGAAATCTCGCGAGATGTGCGGCGCGAGATCCTGGCCAGCTGTGGAGCCCGACCAACCGTTATATTTAACCGTCCAGTCCCGCACTGCCCTGCGCCCCGTGCCAGCATTCTCCCGCTTCTAGGAGGTTCTGAGGCCGAGGCTCGCGGCTCTATTCGATGTTTTCATAGAGAAGCCATCACTTGAGGCGCGGAGCCCGCGAAGGGTAGGGTGTGGAGGGCTGTCTGGGCTGGGGGCCGCACGCGCCGCTCTGTCACGCGTGTCAGGGCCTGCGCGGGGGGGCTTCGAGGCCTAGGGCGGCCGGGTGGGCCTCGGGCTGTCCCGGCTGGGCCTGAGGCCGCGTGATGGCCTGGGTGGGTACATGGGGGTCCCCCGGTGGGCTTCTACTATCGGGCACGTGCGCCGTGGGGTGGGGCAACACGGAGGCGGGGGAGGGGGGCCGTCCACCGAGGGACCTAGCTCACACGGTGGCAGCCTTACTCACCATGCCTCGTGACCTCTTCCCCGCCCCTGCCGAGGCCTAGTAGACGCCATGGAGAAGCAGAAGCCTTTCACTTTATTCGTCCCGCCGTTGCTGAGCAGCAGTCAAGTGTCCGCTGTGAAACCGCAGACTGCAGGAGGAGACTCCACCTACTTCAAGGTCAGTTAGCTAAGGTGCCTGAGATGGCGGGGGTGCGGGGGAGGGTGGGTGGGTGGGAGGGGTGGGAGGGGTGCGGCCAAGCCTTAAGATAGAGTTGCAGCTCTAGAACTCACGTGGCCGAGAGATCCAGATCCTGCTAGTCGGTTTCCGTCACCCCCCCCCCCCCGCAGGCACGTCTGTGAGTCCCCGCACACGCACCATAAAGAAATGCTAATAAGGAGAGCGTGCTTCCCACTTTGTGTGTTGTATTAACAGCGGTTGTACCCAAGGATGGGACTAGCTTTACCTCCCTGGGATGACGGACGGGCCTGAGTGCCTGTTGACCAGACTTCGTCAAAGAATCCTTGCTGGGCTATAGAGACAGTTGGTTCGACTCTGCGCCAAGAGCAAGCCCAATTCCCAGCGTGTCCAACCCTAAGGGGACTTGATGTCACCTCTGCAGGCATTAAAGCACATGCGCACACATGCATACACACATGCACACTTAAAATCGAAGAGAATTGCTGCCGTACAACTTTGTATAAATAGTATTTGCTTATTTAAATTATCTTTCTGGCTAAATGGTTTGAAACAATTTTTTAATGTTTAATTAACATATTAATTGTAGGTAATAATGGTTTCATTATGACATTTTTTATGTATGTATAATTTAAACATTGCTTGTAGATGAAAAGATTTATACTCAGAGTGGCTTTAAGCAGATACAAATGCATATATCTAATGTATTTGTATATTAGCACTGTTGAGTATCAGAGGGTTATTGAACAGTGTATTTAAGAACCTCCCATTAACCTTATTTATCCCCCTCCCACTAATTCCCTTCTAATCCCCTTCTACTTTGTTTCTTTTGTGTGTCCGTGTCCCAGTGTGTTTTGTCAGTGTGTGCTTATAGCAGCATGACACTTAACCACTAGCTGTACCACTGATGAAAATGGCCCTCAGGATTTGAGTCAATTTATAAGGAAAAATTACAAGAAAATTAGAAATTTTACCAAGGAAAATTAAGACTATTTGGACAAATGACTATATGTGGGTAGTAATAATTGTGATTGAGCTTCCTGATAGATAGGGTAAGGAGAAATTCATTTATTAATCAAATTCTAATTGAAAAATACTACTTCAGATTTCTCATGTGAAACAGCTTTTTATATTATTTAAATTTCTCAAGTGGAATATGGAAGCTAATATTTTAATTTTACATGCTGCAGAAAATTTCCACTGTAGCCCAGACACATTATTAAAATTGGATTCAGTGAAGATAAATCTCAAATTGAAGAGAGATTAAAGGAAACTATATACTGTTAAAATTACAAATGTTAGTGCAAAGTATCTACAAAGCTTTTATTATGTAATTTATCGCTTAGGTACATCTTACTAGGAGAAATATAGAATTAAAATTTTGCTTTGTTTGCATAGCAGAAATATTTGATATTTTTTAAACACTATACATCAAAGGGTTTATAATTACAGTGGCTTCTTTTTTTTTTTTTTCGAGACAGGGTTTCTCTGTGTAACAGTACTAGCTGTCCTGGAACTAGCTCTTGTAGACCAGGCTAGCCTCCAACTCACAGAGATCCGCCTGCCTCTGCCTCCTATGTGCTGGGATTAAAGGTGTGTACCACCATCACCTGGTTTACAGTGGCTTCTTTAAGTAGATATGGATATTATATATTTGTGTATTACACTGCTAGGTATCAAAGTAGTATTGAACAGAATACTTAAGGAACCTCTTTGTATTTCTAGACTGTCAACAAATGTACAGAAAGTGATTTTGGTGTTTCATTTGCAATGTCCAGTCTCTCAAAAAGTCGGGAAGACATCAATACAGGTAGGTTTGGACAAACAATATATAAAATCTCATAGAAACATTTTGTTACATACATTGCCAGTTATTGGAAATACATTGTAATTCTTGACATTGATATTCTTGACATTCAATTAGGTAAAATAATATAAAACATGTTCTTGTATTTAATACACAGTTTTATTATTTTTTGCAGATCCTGCTTTACAAAAGCTTAGCATTTTGCCAATACTTGAACAGGTTAGTGAAAGTGTGTACATGCAATCTATTAGATTATTTGAAGAAGAAAAAAATTGGTATTTGTGGGATTGATAGTCTTGTGCATTTAATTTTTATTCCATTTATTTATGTGTATATGTACTTATATGTATTTGTGTGTGCATATAATATGTGTGTGGGTCAGAAAACAACTTGCAGACCTAGGGCTCAAATCAGGTTATCATTGGTCAGTACCATTACTCATGGAGCCAACTTACTGGCCATGTGGTCTTGTGTATTTAACTGTCATTAGCTCTAAAAATATAATCTTATAGTAAACATTAATCTTTTAGGTTGCTAATTCTGGCAGTTGCCACTATCAGGAAGGACCAAATGACTCTGATTTTGAGGTCAGATATTTCCTTCTTATTATTGGAATTTCATTTATCATTTGAATATACCCTTTTAAGTATTAATATTTGGTTAATATTTTAAATTATATTCTTTGAAATCTTTCTTTTGGTGGTTCTGGGTACTAAATCAGCCTCATACATTTTAGGCAACTGCTCTGCATCCCCATTCCAGATATTTTTTTTTCTTCTTAAAATATTTGAAGTGTGAAGCTTTTGTATTTTCATGAATGAAAGGAACCAGTTCTTTTGGGGAAATTTAATTTTAAATAAAAAATTTAAGACTAGAGGAGTGGAGATGGATGTAATATGTGAAAAGGCCAGCATTTACAAAAATAATCTTTTAATGAAATTGTTACCTGGATGCTCTGTTGTATTAAGAAATTTATTTGTAGGATATAGTATAGTTTTTATATTAGTTATAAAATCATTCTTATAGCATATCTTCTACATTTATGGAAATTAAATGGCCTGGTAAGTGCTATATGTCTATTGCTAAACTTCATAATGTCATAGAATAATAAAATTGAATTCAGTTTATATTTTGATAACAGGTTATCAATAAGCAAATATCAGTTTATTTTTTTTACTGAAGCTTGAGGATAACTTCATGTTAGAGCTATGTTATTTACTTAGCATGTGCGATTCCCTGAGTTAGATCCCCAGCTCCTAAATGAAAAATAAACCCAAGTTCCTCTGGCATTTATAATATGATGTGGATAAAAAGGCAAGAAATCTAAATAAAGCTTTAGACTCATTGAAAATTACATATCAAATAACTTTCTATTTTTGTCATATTTTAAGCATCACACTCTATTTATTTTTATCTTATGTGCACATTTGTCTGTGTGAGAATGTCAGATCCCCTGGAACTGAGATTTTAGACAATTGTGAGCTGCCATGTGGGTGCTGGGAATTGAACCCTGGTCCTCTGTAAGAACAGCCAGTGTTCTTAACTACTAATCCATCTCTCCAGCTCCTAAACACCACACTCTTAATCCTTAAATTATTTCTCTAATCAAAATGCCTTAAGACAGTTAACATTTATATGTTTCTTTTGGAGTGATTTATTTTAGCTTTTATCCAGTCAAATTCTCTTCTTGATTAAATTGTTTTTAACTTTAGCATTTTTTAATTTAAATCAGTAATTTTGTGAAGTATCTTGATAGTATGAAAGAGCTAATCCTGTTAAGAGTATAAAACTGAGTACACAATTTGTCGCCATTAATATATATGAATTTGTGGTAGGTAATTGTAGTTGATTATATTAAAATCTTAATTAATTTTTGTAAATTCACTTAAGTAGAATTCAGAGCCAATGAGCAGACTGTATTCAAAGCTGTATAAAGAGGCTGAAAAGATCAAAAAGTGGAAAGTGAGCATAGAATCTGAACTGAAGCAGAAAGAAAATAAATTGCAAGAAAACAGAAAGATAATTGAAGCTCAGCGAAAAGCCATTCAGGAACTACAGGTATAATAAAGTTTTGAATTATAAATATTGTAAATAAATATTATTTGAATCAAAGTAAAAGAAAAAGATAAAAATGTGACACAAGTAAATATTAGCACAATATTGTTGGAAATAGAATATTAATTCAAAGCAAACTGGGTTAATTTTGTTTATGTGGCAGATATTTTGAGAACAAGACTTTGAAATTTCATTAATAAAAGTTGTGGTTCAACTTTAGGAATGAATATGGGACAAATTCCACAAAATATAATGAAGATGATTAAGGGAATAATTATTTTAGATAATAACCAGTTTAATGACATTAATTTAACACAAAGAGTTCAAATTTTTAAGTCCTATTATTGATGTTAATTTGATGTGATAGATATCAGAATGTATTTACACACAAAACTTTGAAACTGTTTAGTTTTGATATGCCATAGAATGAGGAAATAAGGTCAAGGTTGAAGCAGATAATACACTTCAAAGTTATTAGAGATAATATTGTGCTAAATATTATTGAATGCTTTTACTGGTCATTCAGCAAATATTAAGCTGATGAGAGTGAAAGGTTCCTTCCTCTCCTTTTTACACTTATTAGGGTGTGAATGTGTGTCTGTGTGTAGGTCAGAGGACAACTTGTGGGAGTTAGTCTTCTTCCAGTATCATGTAGGTTCTGAGGATTGAACTCAGATTGCCAGGTATGGTGGCATGTGTCCTAACTGGTTAAATCAACATCTTGTATTCCCCTTCCTTTTTTTTTTTTAAACTTTTACCTTTTATTTTATATGCATTGACATCAGATCCCCTGGACCTGGAGTTACAGACAGTTGTGAGCTGCCATGTGGGTGCTGGGACTTGAACCCAGGTCCTCGAACCCAGGTCCTCTAGAAGAGCAGTCAGAACACTTAACCGCTGGGCCAACTCGCCAACCCCCCTTATTTTTTCTTGACATAGCATTTAGTTTTGTTTAGCTCAGACTGACTTCAGATCCACTGTATACATTGAAGCTGGCCCTGAACTCCTGATCCTTAGGCTTCTATTGTAGTTGGTCATTTTTTACTTTCTGATTCTTTACACAAAGAGAC